GCAGGGAAATTGTGGACAGAGTTTCAAAAATCATGGTTATGTATGGAATTTTCCATCTGTTTGATGCGACTGCAGTAAGTTCCATTTGTACTAACCAGACTTTCTGTGTTAAAACGCTGAAAATTTTTAAACCCTTATTTAACTGTTAGTCCTTTCTCTAGCTCTTTTGGACATTAGGTACAGCCAGTTATTCACTTTGTTGCTCTTGCTTGTAAAGCATATCGAGCTTACATAATGATTTATTTATTTATAATTCTTAAATATCAGAATCAATTCCATATTAAAGGATGTGCACATTCCGTAGGGGAAGCCATTTTAAGACTGGGGAATGTTAGTTGTTTTAAGATACAGCTTTAATTGATGTGTGCAATATGATGTGTATCTTCATGTTTCTCATTGCTAATAAAAAGGGAATTATTGGTGATGTTTCTTTTTCTGCCCATAGGGTATTACAGGCGGTATTGTCAGAGGTGCGGGCAAGCAACTGCTTGGTGCTGTGTGCATTATAGCGGGCTACTATTTTGTGGGTTTCCCGATCGGAGTGTCGCTCATGTTTGCGCTTAACATGGGAATAGTTGGTAAGCAGAAAGACACATTAACCTTGACATAGTGTTCAAGACACTAATAATATTTGAAACGTAAATCATCAAACTTCTTATTAAGGTTCTTCATAAGTAGCAAGTCATTACTGTATGTTGTAATTACTTCTGCCTACTTCTTTCTCTTTGTCTGGTCGGCCAGGTCTGTGGAGTGGGCTCTTTGTATGTGTCTTCTTGCAGTCTCTTTTCTTCCTCATTCTAATCTACAAACTCGACTGGAAACGTGCAACTGAAGAGGTAAGATATGATGCTGTGTGTATGTGTGTGGGGTAGTCGTGGCCTAAAGGTTAGAGAGTCAGACTTGTAACCTGAAGGTCATGGGTTTGAGTCTCAGGTCTAGCAGGGATTGTAGGTAGGTAGGTAGGTAGGTGGGTGGAGTGAATGACCAGCACCACAGCAAAAAAAAAATAATAATAAAAAAAATAAAAAATAAAAATGCTGCCCATTGCTCCAGGTGTGTATTCACTACTGTGTGTGTGCTCACTTGGATGGGTTAAATGCAGAGCACAACTTCCAAGTATGGGTCTCCATACTTGCCCACAACTCACTTCACTTCTTTATCCTAACTCAGTGCTATATCTCTGGATGGTCATTTTCAGGCCCTAATAAGAGCAGGCGTACAGACAGCCGAGGCCAAAGATGAGTCCTACGCCCTAGAAAATAAGTGTGCCACTGAAGGTAATGTACCTTTGTCTCACATTTGCATTGATAAAATTAATTTCTCAGATGAAACTTCATAAAACATTTCATTACCCTTCACAGATGTACCAAAGGAAGCCCAACCCAGTGAAGCAGACCAGACTGATGTGGAGGCTAAGGGGGGAAATGATGAAGAAAGAGCTGCAGAGGATGGGGCAGCAGTCACTGTGGCTGGTGTTCTGACCATCAAGCAGCTGGTTGTTCGTCGAGGACTGACTGTTTTCCTGATGTTACTCATCCTCGCCGGTGGGATCACATTGAACGAGTTTCTCACACGCCTCCTCAGATGAGCACTATGCGATAAATCCACTACCAGAATGTTACCTTTCTCAGCAAATATTTTGAGATCCAGGGAGGGCAGAAATCCTACCTGGTTTTATGGCCCAAGGGTCAGACTCTCTCTAGGATAATGAAAATAAAGAGCAATACAATAAGCCAAAATAAAGGCTGATGGCAAGAGGCACCTTAGCCAGATCATATGACGTTAACTGTTTAAGTCCTTTTTTTTTCTGTCAGTGTAAGAATACCAAAGAATTACGTAGCTCAGATGCTCCAAACTATGGAAAAATAAGCCAAAGAAGCTGTTAAACTCGAATTGATTAATTGAATAATTCATCCCCAACCATTCTCATCTGAGGGATGATGTGGTATAATCGTAGGTTTATAAATATTGCATACTAAATTTTTCTCCATCACATTTTAAATAACCACTTGTATTGTTAAAATGTAAGTTTGACACTGATTTATATGATCCATCCAGAGTGAGGCTCAGGACCAGACACTCTGAGGCACCAGATCCTGCATTAAGCTGCGTAATGGGTCTGATTTTAAGTAGGGACGGAAGGGGATACCATTTCCCTTGGATTAATGCCTTTATATCACTTACGATGTCCATTATCAATATTTAAACTCAATCACTGCGATAAGTCACATGGGATATATGTGTGTGTCAAACCCACAGGTTAATGCACTAGCCCCCCTCGGAGACGCTTTTATCAAAATACATTCAAATGCAAATACGCAATTCTCAGTTACAGAATACTGCTATAAACCAGCTTAGTGGAGGAACTTTCAGGAACCTGGGTTTCGTCAAAGACCACAAACCGAGACCTAGACTCATGAGACTCTGAATCAAACCAAAGCCATGTTCATGTGTTCTCAAGATGATCACAAGATCAGAACAGATGAGTATCAGTACTGTTAATGTGATAGTCAGCTTTATATGCAATATATCAAGATGTCTCATGCATCATAGCTCATGATGACTGGAAATAATATGAAATAATGCAAATAGGTTCTACTATCTTATTAAAATTGACAGTTTTTCATGAAAACTTGAAATGGGTACAGAGAATTTATGCTGTCTAGGGTATCTTAAGCTTAAGCTAAGTTTTGCCTTGATTTTGTTGGTAATGACATTTTTGATTAATCAATTCAGTTTGTAAATTCTGTTCTCTCATTGGGAATATAACTTCTGATCTGTTTTCATAGATGGTCATTAGCATGCCAAGCAGAGCCTCTGTTCGAGCTGTTAAAAAGCAGTTCTAAGGTTGTTACATAACTGCAATACGTTTACTGCCATTTTTGGTGAGCTGGAAAAGGAAATATTAGCCAAAATGCTGAAAAACCACTGTAGATAGCGGGAATGATTTCCTTCATGTATGTAAAATGTATAGTCTCTCGAATGTGTCACTGTTTTGATAAGAATGGTTCTACCAAATTGTGAGTAATTCCAAAAAAGGGTATTAACATGCTTATTAGATGTGAAATTATTACATTGTTGAATTTTTGAAGTTTAGGAAACTGAATTATTCTCTTCCATTTTGCTAAAGCTGACCTATGCACACATGAACCCTTTTTTAATGACATCTTTATTGCAGTCAGTATTAAACAACAAAATGAATATTATAACATGTACAGTGGTACAGTGTTGTCATTTTAAAAAAAACAAAAAAAAACAACTTCTGACTATAAGAAACAAAAGGACATTAGATTCACATGCACTCTCGTTTACGAAAATATAATGTAAAAACTGGGTAAAGGAAACAGATTCAATGAATTTCATTGATAATTTGGTAATACTACTCTTGAGACAGTCTGTCATATTGGAAACATAACTGCCTATCTGCCTAACAATTCCAGGGTACCTGGTTCGATCCTGAGCTTGGGTTAGTCTGTGTGTGGAGTTTTACATGTTCTCACCAAGTCATGGGTTTCCACTGGGCTCTCTAGTTTCCTCCCGCCTCCAAAAACCTGCCTGTAGGTGGACTAGCTATGCAAAATTGCCCCACAGAGTAAATGTGTGTATGCATAGCTCTCTGTGATGGACTAGCAACCTGTCTTGGATAGGATCCACCACGACCTCGACCGGGATAAACGATTGAATGAAATCTGTTTTTAGTCAAGCTGTGGGGAAAATATAATTGTTTCTTTTCCTCATTACAATGTTATTTGAATCTGAATGAGACTCCTCTCAAGCACTGCCCCCATCCTGTGGACCTCTGCTCATAGAGAAATGGGATGTGAAATGCTTCCATTCGATGTGTAAGGGTTAAGCAGTTCCACTGAACAGTTTCTTAACCTGCATTTGTACAGTAATGTTGAGGTTAGAAAGTGGTTCAATACTGGTTTGGTGTTTGGCAAACCTGCTAAGGGGTGGCTGGACTAATCCCACAGCAATACCTCAGCACACTGCTTGCTTTGGTGGCTCATGTTTTTGAAGCATTGTAATTCAGATTGGTCTCACTGTTAGGTAGTTAGTAGTTGTAGCGTTGGGGAAGGCAGTAGGGCTGGTGTGGTTCCCCCAGTCCGTAGTGAGGTTGCTCTTAAATTGGACAAATGGCTGTGGTGGTGGGCATGTCAGGTGAACCGCAATGCTGACAGCCAACAGCAAAACTGCAGCCAGTACAGCCAGTCCTCTCCTCAGCACTAACTGCGGGACAGAGAGCGGGGCTTTGAGTCGGCCTTCCCCTGCCTCACCGTCCTCCACTTCATCCTGGGAACTCATGGGTTTCCCCTGTTCTTTGGTGCTCACTGGAGCGTAGGCGCTTGTTTTAGAGCAATTGTTTACTGAATGCGCCTAAAATGCAATGAAGAAAACAGTTAATACATTCATAAAGTAAACAGATCGATTATAATGTTTTGGCTTTGAGTGGATGCAAAATAATAGAAAGAGAGAAACTGTGGCAAATTTGGTAGCTTTCAGTGATTCATTTTTGCCTGTCAAACCGTTAAACCTCAAAGAGTAGTCATTAATGTCGTAATGAGGCTCTCTGTCCTTCTCCGTGCTAGGGCTGTAGGATTCGAGTCTGGTCTCGAGATGTTTTCTGTATTTACTTGGCCTTGTCTCAGTCTTGGGCGTTGGTTTCTCTAAATATGATCTTTGTCTCAACCAAGAGTTGTAAAAATAATGTTTGTGTTGTCTTCTAAGATTCTAGATATTTCTTGAGGAAATTTGGTCTGGCGCATATGAAACCCAAAGACTGAGTAAGTCTCAGTCTCGGCTCTGCCTCCCTTTCATTTGGACTTGGACTTTCATCTTGACTTGGCCTTGACTCCCTTAAACCCCAGTCTTGAGTCGATCTCGGCTAGTCCTGGTCTTGGACTTGTCTTGGATTTGATAACGTTAGTGTTGACTACAGCCGTACACCACACCATAGCAAATAGGGCTTTTAATAGAGATGAATCCAAAGCTATGGAACACTTTCCTTCTCATTTCCAAGCCTGAGCCTCCGTTCCCTATTTCAAAACACAACTAAAAACTAAGAATCTTTTCCACCGCTTACTTAGTGACTCATTTAGAGTTGGGTCCCGAAATCTGAGACCACAAGCGAAAATGTTTCTATATAATAAAAAATGTCTTCATTACAAATTTTCAATAGTAATTTGAGTGGAAAGTAGAAATACTTGAATGTTACTTGAATGTCAGAATTTCTTAGTCCAGCTATTGCTTTAATGACAGCATGCCGTCAAGCTCTTCATGGACTCCACAAGTTTGCGTAAAACCATGTTAGATCAAATCCACTGTTGTCTGAACACATGCTTCAATAGGAAGGATAAGACTCAAGGAAAATCCGAGTTTTTGTACAAAGCAATTAACATCACAAATTTGCTTAAATTTAAAATAGTGACCTAGAAAAAGTGCACAATCTTGCACGAAAAAAAAATCAGTTTTAAACAAACAAACAAAAAAAAAAACCCAACGGATTTTCAGTGGGGTCTCAGATTTGGAAGCCCACTGTACATTGAACTTAATGTGTTTACTATCTCATAGTCTCTATTTTCCTTTCTTTAAATTTTATGAATATTATTATCACACACTTTTTATGATCTGTGATATATCTGTTTACAGTGTCAGTGTCCTTGGTTTTTTCAATACCCTGAAAGAAGCTTATGAATAACATGCTCTTCTTCTTCTTTTTCTTCTTCTTCTGCTTATTATTATTATTATCATTATCATTATTATTTGAAATGATCAGGAATGACTCACCACAGTTCCTCCAGCAGGTGTTTGCTCGGGGTTTTCTAGTCCTTCAGGAATCATGTTGTCCATGACTGATGCACTAAGAAGTGCCTTCTGTCCTACACAGTTCACTTTCCCATTCTTTCCAGCACGTTTCTGTGCCTGAAGGTAAAGCATAGAA